CATGACCCTTGCATCATCTTGCATATATAAACTCACTTCCTCATTCCAATAAAGCAGAAGGTTTACAGAACTGAACGTGTGTGTGTCAGTGTGAATTGTTCAGATGCGCGCATCCCAGTGCCAGATGATTAATTAGGACAGGGGCAGATAATCTTCAGACACTTAGTCCTGACCAAAACAGGTCGGTTCCGTTACACCATGCATGTGAGGTATCGCCCTGAACTTCAGATCAAGGGCAGTAATTCTAACACTTGACCTCCTCTGTAAATCTAAAATGGTAGCTTGTAAAGGCTTTTAAAACATTGCCTAGGGATCTTAAAAACTTAAGCAGTTTGTCGCCATTGCACAGGGCATGCGCAATTTTAAAGCATGTCATGTTTTGTATCTATTTACTTGGCATACCATCATCTTTTCTATTTTACCAAATAATTGGCCAATATTGTGTTTTTGTGCATTAAAAGTAAAAAATTCGTTTTTTTAAAAAAAAATCGCTTTTGAAAAATCGCTGCACGAGTACATGTGACTTAAGAAATTGCAGCACCTACCATTTTATTCACTAGGGTGTTTGCTTTAAAAAAAAAATATGTTTCGGGTTTAAATTAATTTCCTAGCAACAAAATACTGCTTTTTTTTCATGGGAACAAAAAGTGTCAGAAAAGGCTTGATCTTCAGGTGGTTTGAAGAGTGAATGATGTGTGGCATAGACTTCTAATGCTCCCGCGTATGGGGGTACCACATGTGAGAGACGTTTTGGTAGTCTAACCAAGTACAGGACCCCAAAATCCAATAAGCACCTTCAGGCTTTTAAAGGGCTTTATTTCCTCTTTACACTTCCTGACTACCTATCACAGTTTCGAAGGCCCTGAAATGCCAGGATAGCACCTAACCCCCCCAAATGACCACTTTTTGGAAAGTAGACACCCCAAGGAATTTGATAAGAAGCATGGTGAGTATTTTGCAGATCATGTTTGTTGCCACAAGTCTTTGGAAAATGAAGAATAAAACAAAAACATTTTTCTTTTTTTATGTTTCATTCTTCATTTTCCAAAAACTTGTGGCAACAAACGAGATCTACAAAATATTCACCATGCTTATAAAATTCCTTGGGCTGTCTACTTTCCAAAAAAGTGGTCATTTGGGGGGGGGGGGGGGGGGGGGTTTGGGGCTATCCTGGCATTTCAGGGCCTTTGAAACTGTGATAGGTAGTGAGAAAGTGAAATGAGGAAGTTACACACCTTCAAGCTTTCAAAGTGGTCATTGGATTTCAGGCTCCTGTATGTTGCTAGGCTCCCAAAAAGTCTCACACATGTGGCATCCCCATACTAGTAGAAAAATGTATTTTGGGGTGTAATTCCACATATACCTATGGCTTGTGCGAGAAATATATAATTTAAATGACAATTCTGTGTAAAAAGAAAAAGTGTCATTTTCCAGAAACTTGTGGAAAAAAATAAATCTTCCATGGACTCAATATGCCTCTCAGCAGATAGCTTAGGGTGTCTACTTTCCGAAAAGGGGTCATTTGGGGGTGTTTGTACTGTCATGGTATTTTAGCACCTCAAGAAATGTGATAGGCAGTCAAAGTAAAAACTGTGTAAATTCCATTATCTATACCATAGATTGTAGATGCTATAACTTTTCATACAAAGCAATAAATATACACTTATTGGAATTTTTTTAACCTAAAACATGGAGAATACATTTTGGCCTAAGTTTATTACAGAATTTTAGTTTGTTTTTATATATATATATATATATATATTTTTATCACAGAAATTAGAAAATATCGTTTTAAAAAAAAAAAAAAAAAAAAAATTTCCAACTTTTATTGTTTAAAGCGGCAAAAATAAAAGCACAGGCAATCAAATACCACCAAAAGAAAGCTCTATTTGTGTGAAAAAAAAGAAGATGCATTTCATCTCCGCTCCTCACAAGACCTCCTACTCTCTAGCTCCCTTGTCTCCACCTCCCATGCTCAGCTCGAGGACTTCCCCCATCCTCTGGAACGCCCTACCCCAACCCATCAGACTATCGCCTTCTCTGCTCACCTTCAGGCGCACTCTGAAAACCTATCTTTTCATGGAAGCCTACACAGCCCTCAGCTAATACCAAAATCATCTACTCTTCCAACCACTCCATCCCCCACAGTTACAACCTCTTTTACCACTATCCCCTCCCTCCTAGATTGTAAGCTCCAAGGAGCAGGGCCCTCAAACCCCTCTTGTATTGAATTGTATTGTTACTGTACTGTCTCGTGTACTGCCTCCCACCATAATGTAAAGCGCTGAGCAAACTGTTGGCGCTATATAAATCCTGTATAATAATAATAATAATTTATGTACTGTATTGCATGACTGCGCAATTGTCCGTTAAACTAGTGCAGCGCTGTATAGCAAAAAATGGCGTAAATTGCAGTATCTATACCATTGTTTGTAGATGCTATAACTTTCACACAAAGCAATCAATATACACTTATTGGGATTTTTTTTTTTTACCAAAAACATGAATACATTTTGGCCTAAATTTATAACTTTGCGTTTACTATATATTTTTTATAGCTAAAAGTAAAAAAAAATCGTTTTTCTTCAAACCTTTTGATCTTTCTTTGTTCTAACGCGAATAATAAAAAGCACAAAGGTGATAAAATACCACCGAAAGAAAGCTCTATTTGTGTGAAAAAAAGGACGTAAATTCCGTTTGGGTACAGATTTGCATGACCGCGCAATTATCAGTTGAATTAGTGCAACACCGAGTAGCAAAAAGAGGCCTGGTCATTAAGGGGGGTAGATCCTCTAGAGCAGGGGTGGGCAACTGTGGCCCTCCAGCTGTTGTAGAACTACAAGTCCCATGAGGCATTGCAAAACTGAGTTACAAGCTTGACTTCTAAAGGCAGAGGCATAATGGGACGTGTAATTCAACAGCTAGAGGGCCACAGTTGCCCACCCCTACTCTAGAGGGCAAGTGGTTAAATAATACCATAGTGGATCACCACTCCACCACCTTTACAAATGTAAGCTACAAGTGTAAGGATTTAATGAAGATATTACACAAAGCCGGTGTAGCGGCAAGGTCTGTCTCCCATGAAGATCTGTCCCCCTTGAAGCAACTGCGCATGTCACGGTTTCAGGCACGATCAATCAATTACAGAACTACTGCATCCGACCATGTACCTTTGTTGAAGTATGTGGGAGAGTTGGCGGCTATTGATCCACGGGATCAGCTTCAGTGGTGCATGTAAGTGTCATCAGCGGGGCAGCCTAAAAGAGGGTAAATGTGGCAGCTCTGTGCTACAGATGGTGATCGGCGATTGCCTTCTTATGCCTAATACCGTGACATGCGCAGTTGCATCAGGGGAATACATCTACATGGGGAGACTGATCTTGTCGCTACACCAGCACTTCGATTTATCATGAAATGCTGATCCGTGAGGTAGTCACCAGGGCTGCCCGCTTAGGTGCCTGATAACTCTATTAGAACCACTGCGGGTCCACAAATGGTCAAATAGGACACTAAATCCAGTGGGAACTGTTTGAAACCCTGCTGTGGGCGCTATTGCTACTTGTGTTGGTATTAGGGAGATTTCCCATCACTTCCTGTCAGGATCTAATAACGGGCCACGATGCTAAATCAATTGATTGGAACACCTATCATGTTAAACATTCAAATATGCATGTTCCCTCAAGTGATTTCCATAACCTCTTCCTGTCCACCTGCTGTTTATAAATGGCAGGGCGGTGGCAGTCCAGGGGTGGGTTGCCGTTCCTAAACGGCACCTGCCTTTTCTAGCTGTGCGTGCTCCCTGGGAGCGCACACCACCGTGATCCGGTGCCCGCTGTGTCCTCCGGACACAGTGAAACACCGATCGTCGGACGGGACCTCTGTACGAGGTCCCGATCATGTGATCACTGATTGACCAATCAGTGATCACATGCAAAGTAGTAAGCAAGATGTCACTTGTGACATCATTGCTTACTACGTGTGAAATCTGTGAATGATCACAGAGGTCACATGGTACAAGGCTATTCACAACAGCCTTGTACCATGTGACAAGCTGTGACCAATCACAGCTCACTCAGTATTTCTCAATGACTGCAAGAATGCAGACAGAGAGAAAGAGAAATTATTGCTTTTACATCCTATATGGGTGTAAAAGCAATCAGTGTAAAAAAAAAAAAAAAAAATCTTCATCACCCCCCACAAGTAGTACAGTGTCACCATGGTAATACTGTACTGCTAGGGTGACAGTATGTAAAATAAAAAATAATAATATAAAAAAATAAAATATAAAATGTTTAAAAATTATAATTTTTGGTTATAAACTAATTTGGATTTTTTTTTTTTACTAAAAAAATAACGGAATAATTTTGGCCAAGATTTAGGATGAAATATTATTTATTTGCAAAATTTTATTAAAAAAAACACTTTTTTTCAAAATTTTTAGACTTTTTCATTTACATAGTAAAAAAAAATAAAAATCCCAGCGGTGAATAAATACCACCAAAATAAAGCTTTATCTGTCTCAAAAAAATGGTAAAAAATTCATATGTGTACAGTATTGCATGACCGCGCAATTGTCATTCAAAGTGTGATAGCGCTGAAAGCTGAAAATTGCCCTGGTCAGGAAGTGGGTAAAAGTGTCCGGACTGGAAGTGGTTAAACCAGGAAGAGAGCAGACACCCCCCACTGAACCCCCGCTATATATCTTAACCACTTATTACCCAACTCAAAAGGCACTTTATGGATTTGTGACGTTTCAACCAACCACACTACGCAGTTCCTCCAGACATAAGAAAAGCAGAAACCGGAAACTGACCTAAAAAGGCGCCTGCCTAATGACCTCAACCGTTCTCGCGTTATTTCGTGGTGCGAGGGTACGTGACGCGGTGACGTGTATGTCCTGCGTCTCTACGTGGTGGCTGCTGGGTAAAGGATTGGGGCCGGGGAGGGCTGACTGTTTACCGCACGTTTCGGTTTTGCTGGTATCGGGCCTGTGAGGAAGAATGGCGAACGCAGTGGCAGCTGGCGGGGTGACTAGCGGCTCCAGCCGGAAGAGGATTATGAGGGAGGAAGACATGACTAAAGTGGAGTTTGAGACCAGCGAGGAGGTGGATGTAACTCCCACGTTCGATACCATGGGGCTGCGGGAGGACCTGCTGCGGGGCATCTATGCCTATGGTGAGAGGGGGGTCTCGTATAAGTAGCCGGCCGGCGGCTTTCCGTGTCCCTGGCCGGGCACATCTGCTATTGGTGGATCGGAGTATATGGTTCCCTAACACGTGTTCTGTGTTGCAGAAGGCTAGGAAGGGTTAAACCCCCTGCAGTATATTGCTGAGTCCCTATTGGCTGATCTCACTGCTGGCTATGAAGGCGCAAACTATAAAGTGAGGAAACTTCCCCTTGTAGGTGGGCCGCTCATGGATTGGATTTTGCCCGATTCGTTCCTTGTTGGTCCTGCAAGCCCCCCCCCCCCCCCAAGCTCTAGAAACGTCCAAGGTGCCCAGCAGAAAATCATTGGAGGAATAGTGCCTTTATCAGACGCAGGCACTGTTTGGGTATTCTGACATCCACGGAATGGGGCCAGGGGTGGACTGACCATTCAGAAATGTGGGCACTGCCCGAGGGCCGGGGTCAGTAGGAGGCCCCATGAGATGCCCCTGGTACCTTTCCTAGGCTTTTTTTTTAGTTTGGGCAAGCACACAGGGGCCTCATGATCCCCTATTGCCCGGGGGCCCCAGGAGTTGTCAGTCCGCTCCTGAATGGGGCTGAATGAGCGAAGTCTTACAGCGGGATTAAACCCAAAAATGTAACATACTAATCCTTGGATGCGGTGGCTGCATTTGTTTTATTTTTTAGGCATTCCCCCCCCCCCCCCCCCCCCCCCCCCCCCCCCCCCCCCCCCCCCCGCCCCCCCCCCTCCCCCCCCCCCCCCCCCTATTTCATCTGGCGATCCTGCCAGTAAAGCCGGCCACAGATGGATCAAAATTTGACTTCTTCAGCAGGGACTGGCCAAATATCAATCCATGTATGGGCAGGGTGGTTGTACCACAGTCAATCCATCTATCAAGCCTGTCGGGGTCTTTCCGTTCAGTGTCGGCGGCTATAACTGCTGGCAGTGATCACTGCATTCTGATGGTTGGGGAAACCTCCTGCTGTCAGAATACCAAAGTTTGTGGGAGGGATTCCCCATCAACCCTAAATGTGTTGAAGGGAAAATCGAGCAATTTTCTTTCCTGCAAAGTTCAAACCGTGGTTGCAGGAAAGAAAATTGCATAATGTATGGCCTGCTTTGCACTCTTTCTATCTTAAGGCTAGTTTACACTAGTGTTGCTTTCTGAAGAGCATTCCATGTTTGGATTGCTTTTTAGAGAGCATTTTATGGGCAGTAAGGAGGCCTCCTCACTGCCAGTTTTAACCTCCTAATTTCTGTGCTACAGTACAGCCCCGTTCACTTGAATGAGTTGCGTTTGGCAGGTAGTAGTGTTTGCCAAACGTGGCAGGGGTTAGAATTGTGGCCACAAAGCAAGGAGCCATGGCATTTGCACACCATCAGCTGCTGCCCTTCCAGCTAAAAGGGAGGTGGGGGGGCAATTGAGGGGCGGTAAAACACAGCTCATCAGTGTGGTTTTACCATCTCCGCAATGCTAATGTAAACATTCCCTTAGGGTGTTAGCATTCTGGATAAAATAGTTCACATGGTGTATAAAGCATATGTGTTTACTCACACGGGGGTGCACAGATGTTGAGTGCATCCCTATTGATGTTGGTTGGGACACAGGTGCTGCACGGGTACGGATGCTGTTCCCAGTCTGTTGTCTATTTGGGTGCAGGGCCCTGAATACGCCCAGAGTGTGTTCTGGGCCATGCGCCTGCCCAGATGTCAGAATGTAACCACTGCATCTCAGTTGACATCAATGGAAATGTTTGCACGGGGATGCGTCGAACACCTTACATACCCCATGCAGGTAAACACGACCCTCTACGGGCCTACGTTTTACTATGGCTCGAGTGAACAAGACCTAGAAAAGACACCTTTTAGGGCTCTTTCTGGTGTTCCGTATGTCCGGTTTTCATCTGTCTGTTTACGGATGAAAAACGGATGCCCATGTATTTCTATGGAATAGCGGATGTAAATGGGTGATCATCTGTTTACATCTGTTAACATCCGTTGTTTTGAATGGAAGAAATCCCTATTTTTCTTCCGTTTAAAAAAAAAAAAAAAAAAATACACGTCCGTTAAACGGACGAAAAAACTGATCCGTTTTTGCTTGGAAAAAACATGACTGAACTGATGAAAAAAAATGGAATGCCTGTGTGAAAGGGGCCTTAAACAGTAGCATTGTCAGACTGGAGATAGGGTAGTGTTAGACCAGCAGATTTAGATGGACTTCACCAACAAATTGAAGCTGAACTCCAGCTAACGCTTTATAAGCAGTTCCTGCAGGAGGTTTTTTTTTTTTTGTGATAAAGGTATAAGCAGTTACTGCAGGAGGCTTTTTTTTTTTGTGATAAAGGTTTTTCAGGATTAAATGGTTTGGCTCAATCCCTTACTGCTACTTTGGACAGCTTGCTTTGATAAAGGAAGTTGAAAACCAGTAATGGCTTGGTCACCAGGTGAAAATAAAGGGGAAAAAAGAAACAAATGCAGCCGCCACATCTATGAATTAGTGAGCTGTACAAGTAGTTTATTACATTTTTTGTTTTTGGGTTTAATACCACTTTAACTTCTATGGATAGCTTTAGACAGCTGGCTCCAAGGCAAGATTATCCGTCTATTCCTGTTTTGCAGACAACTATAAAAGGTTTAATTGTCCATACTTTTCTGTTTTTATGGTAATCGCCAACAGGACAAATAGGTGCAATCTCCCTAGTAGGACACAGGTTTGAACCTTTTTCACTCAAAACTTAAGAATAAAGTTTTGGTTATACAAACCATATAAAATTGGCCACTGGAAATGGATGGCTAGGGTAGAGAATTTTATTGGTCTGCAAGGCATACTTGTATTTTTCTGTAAGCATTTGTAGTAAATACATGATGAAGAATTCAAAGCAGATCAGAGAAATGTTATCATGGGTCATAAGCACTGAAGGTTCTTCAAATGGGTGTGAATTTTTGTGGACTAAAACATTTGAAACAGCTATACAAAAAAAGCCAGAAGTTCTGTGTAATAGAGGAGCCATATATTGTCCCCTTTTGCGACTCGTGTGTCTTACCTTCTGTCCTTCCCAGTGTGTGGCGGGGGACCCATGCTCCAGACACTCCCAGAAGGGTGCAATGCTATGGACCTTGATGAAGCCTGGATTGTAGGAAAGGTAGGAGACATAGGCTGATAGGTGAAAATTAAAGCGATAGTAAACACCGCTTGGTGACTTGTACCTGCAGGTAAACGTATAATAAAGCCTGCTTGTAGGTACAAGGAATATCTCCTAAATGTGCAATGTTGAGGTCGGAGATATTCACTATTTCTGCGGCTGGTTATATTACTGGCGCAGTACGCGGTTTCTTCAGAGCATTGTGCAACGATCGTGGCTCCCGTGCATATACACGGGAGTGACATGGGAGTGCGATGCATACTAGCACATTATGCCCTTTAAATTTTTTTTTTTTTTTTTTTTCCCATAGTTTACTACCGCTTTAACCTCTTCCCATTCTACATAGACTGAGGACGGGAAGCAGCGCCGATGCGGGCTGATGTTCCTGGACGTCAGTCTGCATCGATGGCTCGTGCGTGGCTGATAGAGCGTACACCCCGGAGCCTGGTAATTGGTGTGTCACGCGGTCACATGGTAAAATGTGATCCACTGTGTCCAGGCGATCACTTGATGTTTTACCATGTGACTGCTGTGACCAATCACAGCAGTCACATAGTAAACAAACTGAAAGTAAAGATCGCTTCTCTCTGTTCTCGGTGTGAGAGCAGAGAGAAGCAATCCTGCAGTGTGCGAGTGTACAGCAGCTTGTTGGGCTGCTTGTACACTCACACACTGAAGTGCAAGCCACCCCAGTGCCCCATGTGTCCCTCATCACTACCCCATAATAAATAATGATTCCTGCCCCTGTCACCTGTCCCAGCGCACACAAAACACCCCCATAGATTATACCAGCGCCCTGATCACTGCCGTACCCCGTACCAGCGCCCTGAACCAGCGCCGATCCCCGTACCAGCGCCCTGATCACTGCCGTACCCCGTACCAGCGCCCTGATCACTGCCGTACCCCGTACCAGCGCCCTGATCACTGCCGTACCCCGTACCAGCGCCCTGATCACTGCCGTACCCCGTACCAGCCCTGATCACTGCCGTACCCCGTACCAGCGCCCTGATCACTGCCGTACCAGCCCCACTGCCGTACCAGCGCCCTGATCACTGCCGTACCAGCGCCCTGATCACTGCCGTACCAGCGCCCTGATCACTGCCGTACCAGCGCCCTGATCACTGCCGTACCACCCCTGATCAGCGCCCTGATCACTGCCGTACCAGCGCCCTGATCACTGCCGTACCAGCGCCCTGATCACTGCCGTACCAGCGCCCTGATCACTGCCGTACCAGCGCCCTGATCACTGCCGTACCAGCGCCCTGATCACTGCCGTACCAGCGCCCTGATCACTGCCGTACCAGCGCCCTGATCACTGCCGTACCAGCGCCCTGATCACTGCCGTACCAGCGCCCTGATCACTGCCGGACCAGCGCCCTGATCACTGCCGGACCAGCGCCCTGATCACTGCCGGACCAGCGCCCTGATCACTGCCGGACCAGCGCCCTGATCACTGCCGGACCAGCGCCCTGATCACTGCCGGACCAGCGCCCTGATCACTGCCGGACCAGCGCCCTGATCACTGCCGGACCAGCGCCCTGATCACTGCCGGACCAGCGCCCTGATCACTGCCGGACCAGCGCCCTGATCACTGCCGGACCAGCGCCCTGATCACTGCCGGACCAGCGCCCTGATCACTGCCGGACCAGCGCCCTGATCACTGCCGGACCAGCGCCCTGATCACTGCCGGACCAGCGCCCTGATCACTGCCGGACCAGCGCCCTGATCACTGCCGGACCAGCGCCCTGATCACTGCCGGACCAGCGCCCTGATCACTGCCGGACCAGCGCCCTGATCACTGCCGGACCAGCGCCCTGATCACTGCCGGACCAGCGCCCTGATCACTGCCGGACCAGCGCCCTGATCACTGCCGGACCAGCGCCCTGATCACTGCCGGACCAGCGCCCTGATCACTGCCGGACCAGCGCCCTGATCACTGCCGGACCAGCGCCCTGATCACTGCCGGACCAGCGCCCTGATCACTGCCGGACCAGCGCCCTGATCACTGCCGGACCAGCGCCCTGATCACTGCCGGACCAGACCAGCGCCCTGATCACTGCCGGACCAGCGCCCTGATCACTGCCGGACCAGCGCCCTGATCACTGCCGGACCAGCGCCCTGATCACTGCCGTACCAGCGCCACTGATCACCCCCCTGATCACCCCCGTACCTCGTACCAGCACCCTGGCTATTGCCATACCAGTGTCCTGATCACTGCCATATGCCATACCAGTGTCTGGCATTTTAGAATCTCAACTGATAAATTTTCAAATATATATCCCATAGTTTGTGAACTCTATAGCTTTCACTGACTAAATAATATAAACTGTTGTGGGTTATTTTTACCCCCAAAATGTAGCAAAATACATTTTGGCCTATATGAAGAAAAATTATGTATTTGCAAAATTTTATACCAAAAACGAAGCAAAAAAAGTTTGTTTTTTTAAAATTTTCCTGATTTTTTTTTTTTTTTTTTTTTTTTTTCTTCATTTTTTATATAGCAAAAAATAAACCCAGTGGTAATCAAATACCACCAAAAGAAAGCAGCCTCTGTCTAAAAAAAAAAAAAAAAAAAAAAGGGATAAAAATGTAATATGAGTACATTGTTGCATGACTGAGTAATTGCCACTCAAATTGTGATGGTGCTAAAAGCTGAAAATTGGCCTGGACTGGAAGGAGGTGAAAGTGTCTGGACTTGAAGTGGTTAAGGATGTTCTCTTGCATGGACCTTCAGGTGTGAGGCTGATAGGATCTCTTTAAATTACAAGTCCAGCCAAAGTCTCTGCCAGTTTTTACTGCTATCCAGGGCTTCCTTGATGACTTTCTCTCTCATATTCACATCATCTTTGACCTGCTCAGATCAACGTAGAGCCCATAGTAAAAAGGTTTTCTATGTAACTTTTTCATATAGTTTATTATGAAAACACTGCTGCGTCATTTAGTACCTCAACTAGTTGGTGTTGTGTTACTTTTTCAAGGGTAAGCATTCTTTTGCACGCTTTGCACTGCAGTAGTTTTCATTTTAACTTTTAAAATCGCTTCATTTTAAATATGAGGTATAGATGATGGTATATCTGTCTTGCATCTAGCATAAATCATAAGAAGGGATTACAAATTATAGATACAAATGTATAGACGCTGGCCATTTGAGCAGCCTAATGTCATCCTTTACATGTTAAATACATTTCCTAATTGCTGAAGTATGTTAAAACCTTGTTTTTCTATGTTTATTATGGGAAAATCATTGAAGAATGAATTTCTTTCAGGGTTTGAAAAACCATCAGCTATCCAACAAAGAGCAATAAAGCAGATTATCAAAGGAAGAGATGTAATAGCACAGTGAGTGACACTTTATTTCTTTTGCATGGTCAAGTGAAGTGTATGTATTGTGGTATGTGTTTAGGGTTGCGTGATGCTTTTATCTTTGAGTGATTTTTTTTTTTTTGCCTAAAATGTCATCAGTATTCACCATATTGGACCATTTATCCTCATTTATTCTCGAAAAGGGTGTGGAAATAAAAAAAACAAAAAAACAAAAAAAATCTTGTCCAGGGACTAAATTGGGTCCCAATTAAGAAATAAATACACTGCTGAAAAAAATAAATGGAACAACATTTAACCACCTCCCGCCCGCCATATAGTAATATGACGGACGCAAGGTGGTTCTCTCATTCTGGGAGGACGTCATATGACGTCCTCCCATTCTCACTGGGCATGCGCGGCTCAGGGAGTGCGTGGCGATTGGCGGTGCGCTGTGTCCCTTGGACACAGCGGATCACTGATCACAGAAAGAGCCAAAGATGTCGGCTCGGTCATGTGATCAGCTGTGTCCAATCACAACTGATCACATGTAAACAGGGAAATGCCGGTTATCTGCATTTCTCTCCTTGAGCTGTTACGCTGACGGCTCGAGAGGAGAAGAGAGCCGATAATTAGCTTTCCGTGGAGGGGACATCTACACATATCATCAGAGCACTGATGATCAGTGTGCCCTGATGATCTGTGTAGCCCCAGCAGTGCCACCTGTCAGTATCCATCAGTGCCACGTGCCCATCAGTGCCCATCAATGCCACATATCGGTGCCTACCAGTGCACATCAATGCTACATATCAGTGCCCATCTGAGCTGCCTTTCAGTTCTGCCAGCCAGTGCCGCATATCAGTGCCATGTATCAGTGCTGCCTGTCAATGCCCATCAGTGCCACCTACCAGTGCCTCCTCATCAGTGCAGCCTATCAGTGCCCATCACTGCAGCCTCATTAACGCACATCAGTGAAGGAGGAAAATCACTTATTTACAAAATTTTGTAACAAAAACTAAGAAAAAACGTGTTTTTTTTTTCAAAATTTTCAGTGTTTTTTTTTTTGTTTAATAAAAAATAAAAAACCCAGAGGTGATTAAATACCACCAAAATAAGTCTCTATCTTTCACAAAAAAAATTATAAAAATTTCATATGGGTACAGTGTTGCATGACCGCGCAATTTCATTCAAAGTGCAACAGCGCTGAAAGCTGGAAATTGGCCTGGACAGGAAGGGGGTATAAGTGCCCTGTAGGCTTGTTGTTAATCAGAGTATAGCATCAAGTCAGTTAAACTCCTGGGATATTGATCTGGTCAGATAAGTAGCAGAGGGAGTTGTTAACCAGTTTTAGCTGCTTTGTTGTTAATTAAATTAACAGGTGCACTAGATGGGCAACAATGGGATGACTCCCAAAACCGGAATGGTTTAACAGGTGGAGGTCACTGACATTTTTTTCCCTACTCATCTTTTCTGACTGTTTTGCACTAGTTTTGCATTTGGCTAGAGTCAGTGTCACTACTGGTAGCATGAGGCAATACCTGGACCCTACAGAGGTTGCACAGGCAGTCCAACTCCTCCAGGATGGCACATCAATACGTGCCATTGCCAGAAGGTTTGCTTTGTCTCCCAGCACAGTCTCAGGAGCATGGAGGAGATTCCAGTGGTGTGCATGTGTCTGATCAATCAGTAACAGACTTCATGAGGGTGGCCTGAGGGCCCAACATCCTCTACTGAGCCCTGTGCTCACTGCCCGGCACCATAGAGCTCGATTGACATTTACCATTAAACACCAGAATTGGCGGGTCCACCACTTGCGCCCTGTACTTTTCCCAGATGTAAGCAGGTTCATCCTGAGCATGTGACGAGAAAGGGTCTGGAGAAGCTGTGGAGAACGTTATGCTGCCTGAAACATCGTTCAGCATGACCATTTTGGTGGTGGGTCAGTGATGGTCTGTACAGGCATATCCATGGAGGCATGCACAAATGTCTACAGGCTAGACAATGGCACCCTGACTGCCATGAGGTATTGGGTTGACATCCTTGGACCCATTGTCAGACCCTACGCTGGTGCAGTGGGTCCTGGGTTCCTCCTGGTCCATGACAGTGCCTGACCTCATGTGGCGAGAGTATGCAGGCATCTCATGGAGGATGAAGGAATTGATACCATTGAATGGCCCCCACTCTCGCCTGACCTGAATCCAATGGAACACCTCTGGGATATCATGTTTCGGTCCATCCAACGCCGCCGGGTTGCACCTCAGACTGTCAAGGAGCTCAGTAATGCTCTGGTCCATATCTGGGAGGAAATACCCCAGGACACCATCCGTCATCTCTTTAGGAGCATGCCCCGACGTTGTCAGGGATGCATACAAACATGGCCATGCAAAGGCCATGCAAACTACTGTGTACCATTTTTGGGTAGCAGCATAGCACGGGGGAGGGTGGTCGGTCAGCGCGCGTGGAGGGAAGGTCAGGGGGCCGGTGGCATTTTCTCAGCTTACGACGAAGCAATTGGGCAGCAGCGGAGTCGCCCGAATGCTTCCACCTGACAATCCCTGCTGCTTGCCCACAGCAGGGCTAAGCGTTAACAAAAACTACATGTCCCAGGCGTTGGGTAAAACAAATTGCACACCACTGAAACAATGTTTATAGGAATGTTTACTTAACCACTGGCCAACTGACAGTAGATTTACTGTAGGTGGCCCATACAGGCTCAGCAACTTACCTCTGGCTGTACAGACTCACGGAGTGGTGCTGTGAGGGGGAATTTGTACTGTCCTGACATTTGACCATCAGTATGTCAGAACTGATCAATTTTCAGGATAATACATCCCATAGTTTTGTAGATGCTGTAACTTTCATACAGACTAAATTAATATACTTATTGTGTTTTTTGTTTTTTTTTTTTTAATCAACATCACTAACCAGATCAGTTACTGTTTTGGTATAAATTATATTTCTATATGGCAAATAATTTACTTAAGTAGATGTAGCAGAGTAATAGAAAACCAACAGATCAGTGAAGGAAAGATGGCCTCCACTTATTTCTATGCCCTTGGAGGACCAGAGAGCTGTCATTACGTCCCTTCCGGTTTCGGTGCCTTGCAAACAAGGCCATTATTATTATATTTTTTTTTTTAAAGTACTAGATCAATGCTTTTTTTGATCTAATGATTTACATTGTAGAGGAGAGATGTGGGGTCTTATGGACTCCATATCTCTCCATAAAGAGAACCTGTCATGCTTTCTTTCACAAGGGATGTTTGCATTCCTTGTGGTAGGAATAAAGGTGATTTTAAAAAAAATTGTAAAAAAAATGAAAATTTTTTTTTTTAAAGTGCCCTCGTGCTCATGCGTAATGGTGAACACATACGTAGGCCATGCCCACATATGTAAACGGTGTTCGAACCACACATGAGGTAACGCTGCGAATGTTAGAGCAAGAGCGATAATTCTAGCACTACACCTCCTCTGTAACTTTAAAGTGTTAACCTGTAGAAAATTTTACAGGGTCACCCATGGAGATTTATAAGTGCCGTGCCGTAGTTTTTTAAAGCATGACATGTTGGGTATCTATGTACTCGGTCTAACATCCTCTTTCATATTTTACAAAAAAATTGAGGTATATATTGTGGGGTTTTTTTTAATCCGTAAAGTATATTTTTTCCCCCGCAAAAAATGCGTTTGAAAAATATATTAATTTTCAAAAACTGTCCATTTCAGTTTGTTTTCGGCCAAGTACATCCTGAAATTTTGGTTTCGGCACCAGAATTTCATTTCAGTGCACCACTATTTTGTATAACATTTTTTTAGGGCAATAAACAGTCAAAAATGATCCCCATGTTAAGACATTAGTTCCATTAAGGAAACTGAATGTCTCATACTGGCAGCCCCTAGCTCCCTCATTCTGCAAATTATCTCCTGGATCTCTGATTGATTTCTATGCTCTTCACTATAGTGGTTTTGCTCTTTGATTTCTAAATATTGAATATTGTATAATTGTTTTATTTACTTATATGTTTGCTTCTTTTGGGTTGAATGTATGCATTTTGTCTTTCAGGTCACAGTCTGGTACAGGCAAAACAGCAACATTTTTGTGTGTCTGTTCTTCAGTGTTTAGACATTCAGGTAGTTCCACCTTGCTAACTTTTTGGTTTTATGTATTGTATTATTCTTATCTATTGTTATCCCAGGCAAAATGTCCACATTGACTGCTTCTTGACAGTTAATGACTCTCTCTGGCTGCATGCCATGGGCCCTTAAACATGAATTCAATTGGCTGCTTAACTTTTAGGTGTGTCAGGACACATTGTGCTTGATATGACTGAAGATGGTATTGAGAGGAGTGTTTTTAAACCTCATTAAAGTGGAGCTCCACCAAAAAGGGGAAGTTCTGCTTTAAGGTCTCTTTCTCCTCTCCTGGTAAATAAATGGCACTTTTGAGGAGTGGGTACCTGATTTTGTCAGGTACCTGCTAACCACTTTTGCTTCGACCACCTACGCGATCGAAAGTGAAAGTTTGAGACTGCTCTGGTACTTCACACAAGGGGTGGTGCATTGATGAAGGTGGTGGGGAGCCAGGCTTTAGCCAGTGTAATAATCTGTGATTTTCTTCCACTATGAATGGCCTGACTTTCTATGGAGGAAATTTTACACATCTGAAACCTTGTGATATTTTCTACGTTTCCAATCCTTACATAGTTCAACTGTGACACTATTGCACACAATCAGCTCACTTTTTACATTGTCATAGCTGGTAAAAATGCTTTTTACCTCCCTATTAGTAGGAAGGTTAGTGTACTAATGTGCCTTAGACTCTGGTTAATGTACTAAAGGCTTGAAAAGGTTGAACTGGAACTAATCCCTCTTATCCTTTTCAGCCAAGGAAGCTGCCATCTTGGCGGCCTCTGTTTAATCTGTAACTGCCATGGTGCTGCACATGTGGTTGGCTATGACATCAAGCATTGGATGGTTTTGCAGTTTGGTTGCAAGCACAACAGTTAACCTTCCCGACATGCCAGAAATGCACCTTTTTTTTTTTTTTTTTAAACTGTGTTAAATTGATGGGTTTATTTCTGCTTTAAAACAAACAAAAAAAATGTATTTTAAAACTTAACATATTTACTTTATTCTTCTAGGTTCGTGAAACACAGGCTTTAATCTTGGCACCGACCAGAGAATTGGCAGGGCAGATTCAGAAGGTAAGGGAACAGCATTTCATTTGTCATACAAAAAATGCTTAAAATGAACCTGTGGGGAATCTTGTTTTTCTTGCTTTGAATAGCAGCTGCAACTAGATGATCACCTAGTGTCATTTCACAACTAAAACTTTAGTTGCAAGCTGACCCTGGTAGTTTCATTAACGAGTAGTAATGGAAAGGGCCAGAAAGCTGGATGGTTAGTGCATCCTGGGTTTTTGAGGGTGATGTGACTCAAAGGATCTAGAAGTGTTTACTATTGAAAGCAAAAAAAAAAGTTTTCTACACAGTAGATTTTAATGTACCACCAATGGTGCTTTTTGTTTCTAACATTGCTGTTAAATTGCTTGCTTTTTACAGGTACTTCTTGCTTTGGGAGATTATATGAATGTACAGTGTCACGCTTGTATTGGAGGAACCAATGTTGGTGAAGATATCCGAAAACTGGATTATGGGCAGCATGTTGTTGCTGGAACACCTGGACGTGTATTTGGTAAGAATTATAATAAAATAGATTTGCTTTATGATAAACCTAAAACATCTGTCTTTTATATAGCTAGAATATTAATGTTCATTATTGCCATGCACAGATATGATCCGCCGCAGAAGTTTAAGAACGCGTGCCATTAAAATGCTAGTTTTGGATGAAGCTGATGAGATGCTTAATAAAGGTAAGCTTTTTTAAGCGTGAATAGATTTTAACAGTTCTGTGAAACTAACTTGAGGGATCTTTTTTGTAACTATAAACCATGTTATTGGCTATGGTTTGCTATGATCTTTAAAGTTGTCTGGGTAAGTAAGCCTTGTGCCCAAGTATTTACATTTTTGTAATTACTATTTCTTAAAAGAATGAGACTTACCAATTGGCAGGCTAATGTAGAAACCAAAGTTGTTTCTAATATTGCTGATTTGAAGTTGAAGTGGTTCTAAAAGCTGAAGTGTGGTTTTTTTTTTTTTTTTTTTTTTTTTTTGTTTTTTTTTTCCCCCTTCATGCATTCTATGCAGTAAAAGCAAAAACCACTTTCAGTGTGCAGTTCCCCCCCTTTGGCCCCTCTAAAAGTACATGAGCTCGATCTCAATCCAGAGATGTGCACGACAGCAGTGTCTTTCCCGGATCTCTCCCTCCTCAGTGGCTGAGACACTCCCACTGCTTTCAATCACAGCCATTGAGAAGGGGACAGGGCTGAGCTGTGCTCTGTTTCTTCTGGACACGCAGAGGCAGCTCGGGAGCAGGCAGGCATAGGTGCCTCCAAGAGCAAGAGTTATAGACAAAAGGGAAAGGCTTTTCTATATGAATTGCAAGATTGTGTATGACGCCTAAAGTAAAGGCAAATAGGACTGATGATGCCGTGGCATATGGTGAGGAGTTTAGAAGAGTAAGAACATGGGGCAGTCTTGTCATACAATGCTAAACACTGAGATAAATTGTTTTTGTTTGTAACTAAGCTACACAAAACTGGGTGTATATTTGGCATTACCCATTTTTTTTACATTGTGAGAACGTTTGCTAAACTTTATTTCAAAGCTTCATACTGAAACAAAAGCGCAGCCTATATTTGTTACATGCCATTTTTGGCTAAACGGAACTTTTACATACTGCTCTGTGAATATTTTTTAAAACCTGTTTTTCATAAGCCAGATTGTAATTTTCTTTGTAACACTAACGCTTGGCTTTTCCTCAACCTTGATCTTTGACTTTTTTTCCCTTCATTAACTTCAGATGTGGTTGTCTTTCAGGGTTCAAGGAACAGATTTATGATGTATATAGATACCTGCCTCCTGCCACCCAGGTTGTCCTGATCAGTGCTACTTTGCCACATGAGATTTTGGAAATGACCAATAAATTCATGACTGATCCCATACGTATCCTGGTGAAGCGGTAAATACTATTTGCTATACAGGCACATCTTTTGGTCCTTTTTTTTTTGTTGTTTTTTCATTTTACATTGGCAGTCTGTAGCTGGAGTTATAAAAGGGTTTCAAGAAAGCTGCTTACCTTTCTAGCGGTAATCCCGATTGTGGCTCAAGGTTAATTTTTAGTACCAAAAGCGGTAACCCCGAGCCACACTTGGGATTATACTGTAGTGTAATTTACCTTGTCCTGCGGTCCGCCAAGGTCCTCCCGCTGTGTCCTCCGGCCGATGCCGGCATCCGTCTTCTGGGTTCCCTTCCCTGCGAGTGTCGCGACGCAGGTGGTGGAACCAGCGGGAGATTCAAAAAAGTAAAAACATGACATACACACAATGCATTGTAATCTGTTAAGATTACATTACTATATCAAACCATTTCACCTCAGTTTTTTCCCTAGTGCCCTGCTGCACTTTTACTGTTTTTTTGCCTGGAAACCTGAGAACGTCCATGGCATCCAATAAGCATCACTTTTTAGGTCAAAAGCGGTTTTAGACCAGCTAGAAAACAGCGATAGTCAATTAGAATCACTTGCAGAATTGAGCGATAGTGATTAGTGGGGAAATTCGTCATCGAACACTGAAAGCGACAACAGCAACGATTCTGCGACTGAGCAGCGGAGAATGGCAGGAGAGGAGCAGTGTACAGGTGAAACTCGAAAAATTAGAATATCGTGCAAAAGTTCATTTATTTCAGTAATCAATGCTCAAAGTGAACCTGCTCTCATCTGTGAAAAACACGGGGAGCCAGTGGCGGACCTGCCAATTCTGATGTTCAATGGCAAATGCCAATTAAGCTCTATGGTGCCAGGCAGTAAGCACAGGGCCCACTAGAGGACATTGGGCCCTCAGGCTACCCTCACAAAGTTGGTTTCTGATAGTTTGGTCAGAGACGGTCACACCAGTGGCCTGCTGGAGGTCATTTTGTAGGGCTCTGGCAGTGCTCATCCTGTTCCTTGGGATGTTCCTGGGGTTTTTTCATGAGCTGTAAGCCATAATCGTCACAATTATGACAAATCGCGGCTTGAACTATCTTGCTTTGCATGTAATGAGTCTATCTCATATATTATTTTCACCTTTTAAGTTGCATTACTGAAATAAATGAACTTTTGCACGATATTCAAATTTTTCGAGTTTCACCTGTATACAGTGACTGGCTGCGTATATGTCAGTGCTGGTTTTTAAATGTAATTACCAGGTTTTTCTCCCCTTCACTTATGGCTCAGAGAATGAGCTGTCATTTACCTCAGAGCTAAAGGAAACTAAGGGGTGGGGTCACTGGATAATGTCACTGGGTGACCCCGCCCCTGTTTCTTTTAGCCCTCCAAGAATTACAGCTTCTTCTTTGAACGTTAGTAAAGGGAAAAAAACCCCGATAATTACATTTTAAAAATAGCATTGTTTTTAAATGCAATTGCCGGCTAAAAGAAACAAAGTGGCGGGGTCATCCAGTGACATTACCCAGTGACCCCGCCCCTTAGTTTCCTTTAGCTCCCGGGAACTATAGCTCATTCTCTGAGCTTTAGTGAAGAAAACAAGAAAGCCGTGTTACAGGCATTTGTTTTTAAATGCAACTGCTAGCTTTTGTTCACTATAGCTAAGAGACTGTGGTCACTTTCCCCAGGGCTAAAAGAAACAAAGTGGTGGGTCACCCAGTGACCCTGCCCCTTAGTTTTATTTTAGATCCCGACAAAGTGACAGCTCTATCTCTTCACTATAGTGAAGGGAAAAAAAAGCCAGTAATTACATTTAAAAACAGGCAGTGACATATTGTGACAGCCAGTGAGGGAGCCTCTTTGTATTCACTTCTTCCTCACTGTATACACTGCTCCTCTCCTGCCCCCTCCTTGCACACACTGCCCCCCCTACAAAGATGGCTGTCACATATGCTATCACATTGGGGACTATTGGTCCCCTATGTGATAGTAATAAAAATATACATGAAATAGAAAAAAAAAAAAAAACATGGAGCCTCCCCACCCCCACATACGCAGACATTTCGGTTCAGTTTTCGGCCACATGCATTCTGAATTTTCGCTATCAGTTTCGGCACCAGAATCTTTCATTTCCGTGCACCACTACTATACACAAGTGAGCAATAATTCTAGGTTCCTTGTTCACAGTTAACACTTAATTGATGACATGCAGAGGCTTTTAAATGGTCGCCTATGGATAAAGTAGAGTGTCAAAGTTCATCATTGTTGTGCGGGCATGCAAAATTTTAAAAGCGCTTGGCTTGTTGGATATATTTACTTAATGTAACCATTTTTATATTTAAAAACTCGAAATTTTCCCTTGATAAACCCTGGTCAAATATTGTGTGATATCAGATATATATACAGTAATAGATGCACTGCTCAAAAAAATTAAATGAACACTTTTTAATCAGATTGTAGCATCAAGTCAATTATACTCCTGGGATATTGATCTGGTCAGTTAAATAGCAGAGGGGGTTGTTAATCAGTTTCAGCTGCTTTGGTGTTAGTGAAATTAACAACAGGAACACTAGATGGGCAGCAATGAAACAACCCCCAATACAGGAATGGTTTTATAGGTGGAGGCCACTGACATTTTTTTCCCTACTCATCTTTTCTGACTGTTTTTCACTAGTTGTGCATTTGGCTAGGGTCAGTGTCACTACTGGTAGCATGAGGCAATACCTGGACCCTACAGAGGTTACACAGGCAGTTCAACTCCTCCAGGATGGCACATCAATACGTGCCTTTGCCTGAAGGTTTGCGGTGTCTCTCAACAGTCTCAAAAGCATGGAGGAGATTCTAGGAAACAGGCAGTTACTCTAGGAAAGCTGGACAGGGCTGTAGATGGTCCTTAAACCATCAACAGGATTTAGTATCTGCTCCTTTGTGCAAGGAGGAACAGGATGAGCACTGCCAGAGCCCTACAAAATGACCTCCAGCAGGCCACTGGTGTGACCGTCTCTGACCAAACTATCAGAAACCAACTTTGTGAGGGTAGCCTGAGGGCCCAATGTCCTCTAGTGGGCTCTGTGCTTACTGCCTGGCACCATAGAGCTTAATTGGCATTTGCCATTGAACATCAGAATTGGCAGGTCCTCCACTGGCTCCCCGTGTTTTTTTCACAGGTGAGAGCAGGTTCACTTTGAGCACATGTGACAGATGTGAAAGGATCTGCAGAAGCCGTGGAGAACGTTATGCTGCCTGTAACATCGTTCAGCATGACCGTTTTGGTGGTGGGTCAGTGATGGTTTGGGGAGGCATATCCATGGGTGGATGCACAGACCTCCTAGAGGCTAGAATGGCACCCTGACTGCCATTAGGTATCGGGATGACATCCTTGGACCCATTTTAAGACCCTACGCTGGTGCAGTGGGTCCTGGGTTCCTCCTGGTGCACAATGCCTGGCCTTATATGGCGAGAGTATGCAGGCAGTTCCTGGAGGATTAAGGAATTGATACCATTGAATGGCCCACATGCTCGAGCGCCTTACCTAAATCCAATAGAACACCTTTGGGATATCATGTTTCGGTCCATCCAACACCACCATGTTGCACCTCAGACTGTCCAGGAGCTCAGTGATGCCCTGGTCCAGATCTTAGAGGAAATACCCCAGGACACCATCCGTTGTCTCATTAGGAGCATGCATGCAAGTACCATTTTGAGTTGCTGCAATGAAATTTCAGCAAAATGGGCTAGCCTGCTGCATAATTTTTTTACTTTGATTTTTCGGGATGTCTTTGAATTCAGTCCTCTGTAGGTTGATCATTTTCATTTCCATCAAACGATAGGGCATTCTTAGGTTCCTAACACATTACCCAGTCCATATCCGTATAGATATCCAGCATGAGATTTTTCCCCATTGAGATTTGATGTGATAGTGTTCCTTTAATTTTTTTGAGCAGTGTATTATGGTAAAAAATTAAGGCTACACCCACGCATATAATACCCTTGCCCACACCACATTTATGCACATGAGTGTAAACGCATGCGTCAGGTGCCTACACATGAAAATGTTGATTATGATCCACATATTGCATACAGCTATGCACGCCGGAGAGAAATAATTCTAGTACCAGACCTCTTCCGTAACGCTAATACCTTATAGAAGGCTTTTAACGTGTCACCTCTGGGATGTTCAATTCATATCGTCCGATGCCCGGAACATGTAGTTCCGGGCGCAAGGCAGGTAGTTTTAATGCAGGTTTTTTTTTTTTTTTTTTTTTGACAACTTGTTGCTGGACAGGTTAAAAACGCAACAAGTGTATATTATTATTATTATTATTTTTTTTTTAATGCATTTCAGGCCTGGTTCACACCAGTGCAGTTTGCGTTTTGTTTGTTTTGCTGTACGTTTTGCGTTTTTGCACGCACGTTTTTTTTGATTTTTTTTTTTTTTTTTTTTTTTCCTTGGCCAACTTGTTGCTGGGCAGATTAAAAATGCAAAACATGTCAAATGCATAAAAAACGCACTGTGTTTTCTGAAGCCTCTCAATTGAAGTCTGTTAAACCAAATAACGTACCTGTTTCAGTTTTTGGCCAAATGCATCCTGAATTTTCGGTTTACCACTAATTAAAATCACAAACGTGATATACTTACTTGCTCTGTACAATGGTTTTGCACAAGCAGGCCTGATTCTCCCCTTCTTTCAGACACACATCCCAGCTCGGCCCTGCTCTCTGCTCACGGGCTTTGACTGACAGCAGCTCTCAGACAAGCCTGTGAGAGCAGGGAGAGGAGAGAAGAGCTGCTGCAGATGTGCTCAGTGCTGGATCGAGATGGGGCTCAGGAGAAGCCACTACAAAAAGGTTTTTTGCTATACCTTAATGCAGAGAATGCATTAAGGTAAACCATTTTTATCTTTTCCACCACTTTAATGCAGATAATGCCTTTAGTACCACTTTTAGGTAGTATTCAAGCCTAAAATTTTTATATCATTTGTTTTTCAGTGATGAGTTGACATTGGAAGGGATTAAGCAATTCTTTGTAGCTGTTGAGAGAGAAGAATGGAAGTTTGACACTTTGTGCGATTTGTATGATACGCTGACAATTACACAGGCTGTGATCTTCTGTAATACAAAAAGAAAGGTTTGTATGTTTTTGTTGTTTTCACATTGCAAAATAAACAAATATAATAAATGAACAGCTAAGCCCATGTAAATTACTTTGTCTTCCCTTAATGAATTGTATTTTTTATTTTTTTTTTTTTTTTACGTATCTACCACTAAAGTGACTCTGATACTGAAAAAATCAAGCCAAAGAGCTGTAAAGTTATAGTTTTTTATGTCCTGGTCTGGCAACTGTTTATGGAAATTTCTTTGCTGCACTGCAAAGCAGCCCGAGATGTCTTCATGCTTCTAGCAGTGCTAGATGCCCGTGTCTTCTACTGTGCTGTGTGATTCCTTCCACCCGCTGTTAAGTCACTATGGGGAACAGTAGTGATGTAGAGGCCAACAGGGGGAACCACAGAGCACAGTAGGGCATGTATGAGATTTTTAAATGTAGAGGTCATTTTAGATGGCTTTATGGTGCAGCAGAGTGAGGATCCTATGAATTGGCCATAGCAGGTACATAGAACCTTCCTTTCTTTACTGGAGCTTTTTGGTTAACAATTATTTTTTTTTTCCCCGCCAACAGGGTGTTAAAAGCGGTGGTTTATGGTAGACTTTTGACTATCTTTATGCTCTTTGTAATTTTAGGTGGATTGGTTGACCGAGAAAATGAGAGAAGCCAACTTTACAGTGTCTTCAATGCATGGTGACATGCCACAGAAAGAACGAGAATCCATTATGAAAGAATTCAGATCGGGTGCCAGGTTTGTATTGCAGGATTTACCAAAATCCCCTCAATATGTTCAGAATCAATTCCATCTCTTTATTTCCACTCTGTTAAAACATTATAGTAGCACATGACTGGTTTATTCACTTTACAACCATACTATAGCCGAAAGACGGCTAGGACGTCCTCCCAGAACGCGCCCCCAGCGGTGCGCACCCGGTGCTGGCAGTGATCACTGTGTCCTACAAACATAGCAAAAAGGCCATACTATAGCCGAAAGACGGCTACTGCGCGGTTTCCAGTTCTTGGAGGACGTCCTCCCAGAACGCTCCCCAGCGGTGCGCACCTATCAGGTGCTGGCAGTGATCACTGTGTCCTACAAACATAGCTGATCACATGACTAGGTAAAAGGCCAATCACAGGAGCCTTTTACCACGTGATCAGCTGTGTCCAATGACACAGCAGATCACAAAGTAAATACTGTTGCAGGTTATCGGCTGCACTTTCCTCATGTTGTCACAGTACTGCCGATAACCGGCAAATGCCACAGAGCAGATTTGCAGTATTGGCAAAGACTTACCTGCCCTACCCTCTTTCTCCCACTAGTGGAACCTCCAGCTGCAGAAAGCATGAATGTATAGCCTCTAATGTACTCCTAGAAAGACTTATATTTTTTTTTTTGTTTTTCAGTCGAGTTCTTATTTCCACTGACGTGTGGGCCAGAGGACTGGATGTGCCACAGGTTTCCTTGATAATTAACTATGACCTCCCCAATAACAGAGAATTGTATATCCACAGGTGGGTTCTTGTGTAATTGCATATCATTTGACTTGATCTGACAACATGGTTTGAACAGGTTGTCTTCTGTAAATATTTTAACACAGGATTGGTCGTTCAGGACGTTACGGTAGAAAAGGTGTGGCCATTAACTTTGTAAAGAATGATGATATTCGTATCTTGAGAGATATTGAACAGTACTACTCTACTCAGATTGATGAAATGCCCATGAATGGTATGTACATACATTATCTTAATATTTAGGCCTCTAACATTACTTCAATTCAAGTTTTCCTATACGAGCATAGCTGGCTGTTATATGACCACATTTTGTGCCATATGGTGTTACTTTAATTTGGCAGCTGTGAAGACTTTATCTGCCCAGGCTTTGCTGTAACTTGGTACTGGCTAGCATTTGATATATCATTGATGTAAAGTACACAAAGCTCATGGAAGCAGTTCCCAGACTTAAATAAGAAGTGTGTGATTTAAAAAGAAATATTCATACTCGCCTATGTAGATGTGGCATCGATCTGATGATGCAGCTTGTCCCGTGCTGGCTCTACACTGAGAACTGACCATTGAAACACTGCTGATCGCTCAGTTCACAAGTCCACTCTGAGCACAGAGCAGTGACTGTCATGCTCCGATCTGCACTGTGTCCCTCCAGAGCTCACAGGAGTGCTGGGTAGGAGAGGGAGCAGGAGCGGCTGGCTCTGGCTTTCAGGAGTGCGCTGAGAGTCTGAGCCAGCTGCTGGTCAAGGATCTGGGTAGATCCCAACATTGTCAGGATCCCTGCAAAGCCTGCAGTAGCTCTGATGTCAGTCGACAGCCCGCTGTTGGTTTCAATCTGGGTCGCAGGGATGCAGAACTAAATGGACTCCTGTGACCCACAGGACAACAATGGCCAAATGAGCCAATTTAAACAAGTGGAGTTAAAGTGGTTGTAAGGGCTGAAGGTTCTTATGCATGAATGTAAAAAACCTGTGTGCAGCTGTGCCCCCAGCCCTCTCAACACATTTACCTGACCCCATCGCGATCCAGCGATGTGAATGTCAGCCTCAGCTGTTCCGGATCTCTGCCTCATTGGCTGAGACAGCAAGCAGTAGCCATTGGCAGAATTTTAGAAATGATTGCAAATTTATGAAAAGAAACACTAAAATATTACTTTGGCATAAGTATTCAGACTTTTTGCAACAACACCTGAAATTTAGTTTAGGTGCCTCCCAGTTCTCTTGATCCTTGCTGAGATGTTTCTACACCTTGATTAGAGTCCACCTGTGGTAAACTAAATTGATTGGACATGATTTGAAAAAGCACACACCTCTCGCTATAAATGGCCTTACAGCTGACAATGCATACTGTATCAGAGCAAAAGCCACAAGGCCAAATGAACTGCCTGCAGAGCTCAGAGACACGATAATGGCAAGGCACAGATCTGGGGAAGGCTACAAAAAATTGTCTGCTGCACTGAAGGTTCCCAAAAGCATAGTGGCCTCCATAGTTTTTAAATAGAAGAAGTTTGGCTCAACAGGACTCTTCCAAAAGCTGGTCGCCCAGCCAAAGGGCAATTGGTAGAGAAGGGCCTTGGTAAGAGAGGTGACCAAAAACCCAATGGTCACTCTGACTGAGCTCCAGATATCCTTTGTGGAGATGGGACAAAGTTCCAGAAGGACAACCATCACTGCAGCCCTCCACTGATCTGGGATTTATGGCAGAGTGGCTAGACAGAAGTCACTCCTCAGTGCAAAACACATGAAAGCCCACTTGGAGTTTGTAAAAGCATTTTTTGCAAGCTGGCTTCTGTGTTTGCAGTGTATATAACCTATCTCTGTGTTGGTTTTATATTGTTAATGGGCAATAACAGCCACTCTATACATATCACGCCCACTAAAATATTTACAATCCTATGCAAAATAAAAATGTTTATTCGTATATCGTGGGATACAGAGCTGCCATATTGTTCCTTACTCATAGGGTTATGCGATATCTACAGGCGATTGCACACTGGCAAAAGGACATGAAGTGCCTCCAATATAACTCCTCCCATATAGGAAGTACTTCAGTTTTTATCACCAGTGTCTGAATGTAATGGTCACTGATGTGCAGCTCTCTCACAATGTTGCCAGGTGCTCAGGGGTTCCAAATATCTCAGTTCCAAGTTCCTGACAGTGTTGTTCCACCAAAAAAGATTTGCTCAGCTATAGTCTATGGAGGAGGAGGTCACTAAAGTGGAGTAGGGCTGCAACTATTTTCATAATTGCTTAGTTGGCTGATTTATTGTTTTGATTAATTAAAAACATCAAAAAGTGTGGAGTGCAATTTTTAGTTATGTAAAGTTAAAAAAAAATATATTCTTGAATATCTATATGCATTGGTAAATATAAATACGCGCTATATGGTTAGGGAACAAAATATCTAATCCGCTCTCAGTATAACAGAAGATATGTTATACTTATAGAGGTAAATCATGTCCTCAGAATCGGAGATTAATTATTCTATTTTTATTTATTTTTTTTTTTTAAAGAAAAAAATTTTTGAAGGCTTAAAACAGTTTTCTGCAGATTTTCAGATGGGACTGTAACATTATTATGCATGACAGAGTTCCTTGTCATAGGCAGGTAGCTTGCTGCAACCTACCTGTGCCTGTTGTCACTAAGATCTTTATAAGCAGCAGTATGATTTTTGTATCACCTGTCATGAAGGGGATTAAAAACCAAAAATTTGCCCTTTTTATAGTTTAAAAAAAATACCTGCAGCTCAGCTACAAATAATCATTACAAGGGGTATTTATAACCCCTAAACTGCAAATATAATCAAGCCCCTACTGTCCTGAGCCCCCTGAAGGCCTTCCTGTGGGGGCTGCGCTTTGCCATAGACTTGTATTATATCTTGTGGGTGTGGTGCACTTTGAAAATGTACCAAAACTCCTGCATTCAGGCCATGGGTTGAGAGCATCTCTGTTAGGTGCATTTACTTTGGTTTTCAACCCATTGAAGTCTACGAGGAGCGTATTAAAATGCATGTAAAATGCACTAAACGCAGTAAAGAATATAAGCAATACGCATGGAAAAATACACAAAGGCAGAAGTGGAGTGATGTGAACAGGGCCTAAATCTGAGATGCGATGGCTTTAAAAGAGATGCATCTGTGTTACGGTCCACCAATGTGTATAATTCTCCAGGCTAGATACATCAAAGGAACAGGGTAACTAATGGGAGCAGGTATTTGACTTTTCTGTATTCAATCGAAGCACATTTCCTGTCCTCTGAAAGGGAACTTGTCATCCTATGTAATTCTCCGGGCTGTCGATTTTCCTATTCACAGGTTGCATACTAATTCCTGGGTAGTGATGTACCTCACATCACTGAGTGATGTACTTGCCTCAGAACTAGCATTTGGTTTGGAAGTCCAAAACTTGGCTTCCACTAGACAGGTATTTGGAATAATGATCGATTTTTCTTTGTAAAGTAAAAGTAAGCAAGAAACGTGTACTAGAGGCAACAACTGCTTCATCAGGCTCGTGAAAGGCTGTGTTTTTAAAAAGGCAAAGTGTTATCCAGATCAGACTAGCTGAACAGTGTTCTGCATTAATTTGTCCAAACCTTGTGGAGGCCTGTTGAATTAAAGGTCTGTTGCAGCTGAGGATGGACTTTTTAAGGGAAATGCTTCACTTACAAGGTATAGAGGTCCTCCGCTGCAGCCCCTGCCATAGCTAAAAGGCTGAACATAATGCTCGGTATCTGTAATGCTGGAGGACTGTCGGAGACTGCAGACATACTAGAGGAAATGATGAGAGGGACCAAGAACATGCTATGGGTTTGTTTGAAGACCTGAGACACGTTGCAGAAGACATTGAGTCTGAAGAGCTGTTACATAAGGCTAGTAAAGTTCACTGCTATTACTCCTATATACTGTGAATCAGAGCTCTCACTCCCACCACTGACTGCTGTGGCCCGAGGGACTCATGAAAAGAATCTATCATTTTAGCATCTTCTCATTCAAGGCAATTTAAAAAAAAGTGCAGTACACGTCTGCAATATATGCACATTTCCCATTGTTTTGTCTCTTTAACCCTTGTCTATCAAGGTCCAATTAAGAAAAACCTCGTGGTTGTCGAGGGATTTAACCACTTGCCCTCCAGAGGATTTACTCTCCTTCCTGACCAAGCTATTTTTTGCAGTACAGCGCTGCGTTACTTTGACTGACAGTTGTGTGGTCATGCAATGCTGTACATAAATGAAATTTTATGTCCTTTTTTTCCCACAAATGGAACTTTCTTTTGGTGGTATTTCATCACCTGTGCAATTTTATTTTTTGCGCTATAAACAGAAAAAAAACCCCACAATTTTGCAAAAAATTTCTACAAAGTGTGTGTGTGTGTGTGTGTGTGTGTGTGTGTGTGTGTGTGTGTGTGTGTGTGTGTTGAAATATTTATTTATTTTTATACTAGTAATCCGTGACTTATAGCGGGCATTCTGACACTGGGTGGGAATTGACTGCCAATGACACTAATACAGTGATCAGTGCTAATAAAAAGCACTGACACTGTACTAATGACACTGAGGCAGGAAGCGGTTAACATCTGGGGCGATCAAAGGGTTAACAGTGTGCTGTTTTACATGAGGTGTTGTGTGTGTTTTTATTAGGGAGACATGCTGCTTTGTATTTCTCTGCTGTGTGGAGAAATACACAGCAGCATGACCTTGCTGGCAAAAAAGAGACTTGTATTTACACATTTTAATCACGTGTATGTATGTATGTATATATGTGTGTGTGTGTATATATATATATAATATATGTATGTGATTTTGTGCAGCCCTGTAGCAGTAGCTCTACTATAGGGCGGCGGGAAAACGGTTAAAGAATAACTAAAGGCAAAACTTTTTCGTTTTGGATAGTGTAGGATTAGAACACTTCTCAGTTTTTATTGCTGTCTGCGCCCGTTAAAGAGATTTATCTTCTTTATTTGTCCTGTTTTACCGTTTTATTATTTAAAGTGAAAGGTAAACCCAAATTTTGTGTTGTCCCCGGACACAGGCAGATTCAGAGAGAGATGGGTTAGAGGCAGGTACCTTCAGGTGGTTGGATGCTGGCAAAAGAAAAGTTGTGAATACCCTCATATAATTCTTCCTGCTCCCAGCAATCTTCATTTATTTGTTAGTGTCTAAGTGTTGGATGTATCCTGTCTACTGTATGTACTGTGAATATTTAGTTGCATGTACAAAATTATTCAATCAGCTTCCTAGCTGTGTAGTGGCCAT